ATGGCCACGAAAGCTGTACATGTGGAGCTTGTATCAGATTTAACAACTTCAGCGTTCTTAGCAGCGCTACGCCGAATGGCTGCACGGAGAGGAGTCCCAAGGCACATGTACAGTGATCAAGGCACGAATTTCATCGGCGCTAATAAAGTACTACAGCAAGAATATCAAGCTTTAAAAAACATATTTAATCAAGAATTCATGACTGAAATAGCAAGCATGGGGATAGAGTGGCACTTTAATGCCCCCGCATGGCCTTCAGCAGGCGGGCTGTGGGAAGCGGCAGTCAAGAGCCTTAAACACCACATCAAGCGAGTCATCGGAGAGCAAAGGCTCACATATGAAGAATACAGCACTCTTCTGTCTCAATTAGAAGGATGCTTAAATTCTAGACCCCTCTGCCCTATGACTGAAGATCCGGACGACTTAGACACCATCACACCATCACACTTCTTAGGAAGCGGTTCTTCTTTAAATATTTACGAAACTGAGAAAGATTTACGTACGAGGTGGCATCTGACCCAAAAATTATTCAAGGACATCTGGGATCGATGGCAGAACGAATATCTTACTCAACTCGCATCAAGGAGTAAATAGAGACGCCCACAACCCAATATCAAGGTAAACGACGTTGTAATAATAAAAGACGAGAATCTTCCCCCAGGAAAATGGGCTCTAGGTCGAGTACACCAACTACATCCCGGAAGTGACGGCTGCGTTAGAGTCGTCACTCTTAAAACAAAAAATGGCTTTATACAACGCCCTGTTGTTAAATTATCAATTCTGCCCGTTAATCAAGATCATAGTGATAAGCAATCAGAGCCTGACCAAGAGGCACCCGTCATGAAAACTAGAAAAAAGAAAAGTTTTTGTTTGACTTCAGTGATAACGTCTTTGTTGTTATTTTTCATATCAGTCATACCTACCGCTCAGAGCGCCTACAACATAACAGAGTTACAAAGAAACAGTCTTTATTTCGATAGCATTACAAAAATGCATTTAATTCAAGACGAGTGGCGCTTGATTGTTTACTACGACATACAGCCTTATAAGCAAGGCATAATGACTCTAAATAAATATATACAATATTTAGACGAACTTTGCGTAAATATAAAAGAACAGTCGCATTGTAGCGGGATCATGTTGCAATTACATCACGAGTTTGATGAACTCGAATATTATAATAACATTTTAATAAGCCGTAAAGACACAGGAATACGACACAAACGCGGCCTTATCAACGGTGTCGGTTACGTCGCGAATAGTTTATTCGGTGTCTTAGACGAGCATTTTGCGGAGAAATATGAACAAGATATAAATCTTATTAAGGAGAACCAAAAACATTTGGCAACCCTACAAAAAAATCAGACTTCAATTCTAGAGGCAGAGTATAACTTCATGAAACGGACTGAAAATATTATGGAAAAACATCACAAAATTATTAACCGGAAGTTAAACACCGTCGAAAATTCAGTAATGCAAATCAAAAAAGGTTTAGAAAATATTTGTCTCAGCAGTGAATTTATATCGTCAACAATTATGGCAAATAACATAGTATTTAGCCTCAAGAACGTGCAGCAAACTCTTCTCGATACTGTGACAAATATTTATAACGGAAAATTTAATTTTCATATGTTGACACCCGATCAGATAATACAAGAGCTTAACATCATAGCAGGACACCTACCGAAAGACTTAGCATTGCCAGTCGATAATTATGATATTTACCAAATTTACAACTTGTTACAAGTACGAGCAAGAATTTCGAATAATTATATTATATTTGAAATAAAGTTTCCCTTGATCAGCAGAGATCTATACGAGGTCTTTAGGCTTATTCCAATACCGCGAGTCCTCAATGGTATCAACGCAACTTCTATACGACCTATATCCGAGTATGCTGCAATAAACTTAAGAAAGGACGCCTATGTGCCACTGACAGAAAGCAATTTGGATACATGTATACGTAGAGACTCTTTTGTAGTACTATGTCACATAAGACGCCCTATTTATCATATCAAGAACGACCAAAGTCTATGTGAAACTATCCCACATCAAAACACTTGCAAAACAGTTACAAAATTATGTTATAATAAATGGATAGAATTAAATAAATTAAATAGTTATTTTTATACGTGCTGCGAGCGGTGTCAAATGAAGTTGATATGCGACGATCAGATTACTACGGTGCAATCGACCCAATCAGGCATATTTACAGTTGGTCAAGGCTGCATTATCAAGACAGCTGATTTCTTTATTTATTCTCATAAGGAAAATGAAAATAAGTTGGCTACAAGTTCGGCGCTGGAGGTTCCCGATATTTCGCCTATCAATCGTTATATTAATATCTCTTTACCCGATACATCCATACCGAGTAATGAATCAGACAGTACCGATAGCAATCTTCGTTTGGCAAACATTAAGCAACAGCTGGACATGATAAAGAATAGCGAAACCCTGGCCGACAAGGTGTCGTACCACGACGTTCACCACTATGCAGCAATTTATGTTCTTTTCGCGATCGTTGGGGTTGGCGCAGCAGTGCTCGCCTGGCGGCGGTGCAGGTCGCGCCCCGCGGCCCGCGGCCTCGGCGGCGGCGGTGGCAGCGGCAGCGGTGGCGGCCGCAGCAGTATTAGTGTAGTGCAGTGTAGTGATTATGATGGTGAATGTAGTGCAAGTGATATTCCAAAGCAAAGTGCGCGAAATTTAAAACAAAATAGAAGCACATCGCCAGTGCTTCGTTCGGTATTCACTATCCCGGACGTTAACATATAGATTTAGATAATTTTATTCTATCATTATAAGCATCAAGATAATTAAAGCACTTTTCATTGCATGTTAGTTTTAAAGGAATTATTGTTCATCATCTTGTTACTAGATAGGGTCATCAAGCACATCATCTATACTAATCTCATTTTTCTCGCCCGGGAATATGTACGAGCAAGCTACGTACATTTCGCCCGCTCATCATTTTATTAATTGACCTTATTTTATTATTTTCAATAATCGTCAATTACTTACAAGTTAGTTCGCAATTAGCTATCAAGTAAGCCGTGCGCGTACTCTTTCATAACAATCATTTTTATATCAACTAGTATTGTTTTAAGTTATTGTTTAGTTACCAAAATATACTTTATTATCAAGTTATCAAGTTTATCATTTTATCAGTATTTTAGTTTCGGTGCATCCCGAACAGATGGTATAGGTAATATCGGGGGCATTGGGGCAATACCAGACGGTGGTGTGGTCGTCGGTCAGGATGCGCAGCAGGAAGGCGGCGGCAGTATGCGGGCGCGCAGTGTGCGGCACCACCAGGTACTGCCCCGCCGGCAGTGTAGGTCTAGGTAATAGTGTGATGGTATAGGTAACAGTGTAGGGTGCATCGGGCACTACCAGACGGTGGTGTGGTCGTCGGTCAGGATGCGCAGCAGGAAGGCGGCGGCAGTATGCGGGCGCGCAGTGTGCGGCACCACCAGGTACTGCCCCGCCGGCAGTGTAGGTCTAGGTAATAGTGTGATGGTATAGGTAACAGTGTAGGGTGCATCGGGCACTACCAGACGGTGGTGTGGTCGTCGGTCAGGATGCGCAGCAGGAAGGCGGCGGCAGTATGCGGGCGCGCAGTGTGCGGCACCACCAGGTACTGCCCCGCCGGCAGTGTAGGTCTAGGTAATAGTGTGATGGTATAGGTAACAGTGTAGGGTGCATCGGGCACTACCAGACGGTGGTGTGGTCGTCGGTCAGGATGCGCAGCAGGAAGGCGGCGGCAGTATGCGGGCGCGCAGTGTGCGGCACCACCAGGTACTGCCCCGCCGGCAGTGTAGGTCTAGGTAATAGTGTGATGGTATAGGTAACAGTGTAGGGTGCATCGGGCACTACCAGACGGTGGTGTGGTCGTCGGTCAGGATGCGCAGCAGGAAGGCGGCGGCAGTATGCGGGCGCGCAGTGTGCGGCACCACCAGGTACTGCCCCGCCGGCAGTGTAGGTCTAGGTAATAGTGTGATGGTATAGGTAACAGTGTAGGGTGCATCGGGCACTACCAGACGGTGGTGTGGTCGTCGGTCAGGATGCGCAGCAGGAAGGCGGCGGCAGTATGCGGGCGCGCAGTGTGCGGCACCACCAGGTACTGCCCCGCCGGCAGTGTAGGTCTAGGTAATAGTGTGATGGTATAGGTAACAGTGTAGGGTGCATCGGGCACTACCAGACGGTGGTGTGGTCGTCGGTCAGGATGCGCAGCAGGAAGGCGGCGGCAGTATGCGGGCGCGCAGTGTGCGGCACCACCAGGTACTGCCCCGCCGGCAGTGTAGGTCTAGGTAATAGTGTGATGGTATAGGTAACAGTGTAGGGTGCATCGGGCACTACCAGACGGTGGTGTGGTCGTCGGTCAGGATGCGCAGCAGGAAGGCGGCGGCAGTATGCGGGCGCGCAGTGTGCGGCACCACCAGGTACTGCCCCGCCGGCAGTGTAGGTCTAGGTAATAGTGTGATGGTATAGGTAACAGTGTAGGGTGCATCGGGCACTACCAGACGGTGGTGTGGTCGTCGGTCAGGATGCGCAGCAGGAAGGCGGCGGCAGTATGCGGGCGCGCAGTGTGCGGCACCACCAGGTACTGCCCCGCCGGCAGTGTAGGTCTAGGTAATAGTGTGATGGTATAGGTAACAGTGTAGGGTGCATCGGGCACTACCAGACGGTGGTGTGGTCGTCGGTCAGGATGCGCAGCAGGAAGGCGGCGGCAGTATGCGGGCGCGCAGTGTGCGGCACCACCAGGTACTGCCCCGCCGGCAGTGTAGGTCTAGGTAATAGTGTGATGGTATAGGTAACAGTGTAGGGTGCATCGGGCACTACCAGACGGTGGTGTGGTCGTCGGTCAGGATGCGCAGCAGGAAGGCGGCGGCAGTATGCGGGCGCGCAGTGTGCGGCACCACCAGGTACTGCCCCGCCGGCAGTGTAGGTCTAGGTAATAGTGTGATGGTATAGGTAACAGTGTAGGGTGCATCGGGCACTACCAGACGGTGGTGTGGTCGTCGGTCAGGATGCGCAGCAGGAAGGCGGCGGCAGTATGCGGGCGCGCAGTGTGCGGCACCACCAGGTACTGCCCCGCCGGCAGCGTGAAGAAGGTCGCCACCTCGCGCGCCCGGGACTCGTGCGTCACGTCCAGCGCGCGCTGCACAACCGAACACATTCGTAACCATTCAGCTACATCACTACAATAATAACAAACAAATGGGGAATTATCACCACATAAAGTGTGATTATAAACACTAATAACACAACTTTAACAATATAAAACAATAATAAAATTCAAGCGGCATAAAGCGAAGGATATCTGTTGACAATTTTTTTTTTAATTTTTGTTCGACATAAGTATTTTGCCCTAGTTTTGATTCATTCTACTGTAACGAGCGCTGTCGTCAGCCACCGGTCGTTAAGCCAAGCCTAGCGAGTGACAATAAATCTTAGAGCAATAACGCAATAAATATTAAAAAATCAAACAACATTGTTAGTTTTCTCAATATTTCATATTTTACATTATGTAGTTAGCATCGAGTTAATTCGAGTTGAAAATGCAGAAAACACTGAGCCGGTCGAGAGAGAGTCGCATGTACATGTATAAATACAATTTCAAACGAGCTATTAGAAAATAGGTATCGTTCAGTACCTTTAGCACGAACCAACATCGAACTCGAATAGTCGAATTCGATATCGAAAGGCGTTGAACGTCAGGAACTTTTGTATGGAAATTTTAACAGCGCCATGATGAACGAAACGAGTATTAAAAATCGGTGCGTTTACCAGCGTGTGCAGCGTGGAGAGCGGGCGGCGCGGCGCGGCGCCGGGCGGCAGCTCGTACACCGCGAACCCCACCGCGTGCAGCCGCGACGCGGCACCTGCCGCGCCCGACCCCGACCCCCACCCCGCGGCACTACTGCCGCCGCCCGGACGGTACTGCTGCGTCACCGACACCACCACGTGGCACTTGCGGCCCGCCTCGCCGCACACCTGCACGTGGAACTGCGGGTTTATGCTCGTCGTCTCTGGGGACAACAAGTCGGTCGGTTAGATTGTGAATACTGATTCTTTGTTAATTAAATGATTGTAGTATTGAATTGTTACGCCTCCTCGTGTTCCATAGTCCACATTAGCGTCATCCCAATTTGGTAGTATCTATATGTTATGTTCTTGAAGTAGGTTAATAGCACTGCTTTGGAGCGTATGGGTGATGTGTGTGTGTGTGGCAAGCGGGCGGCCCGCCGGCGTTGTATCCGGGCGTCCAGCGGCGGCGAGGTGTGATGGAGGGAGGGAGCGGCCAGTATTACCGGTGGCAGCGGGCGGCCCGCCGGCGTTGTATCCGGGCGTCCAGCGGCGGCGAGGTGTGATGGAGGGAGGGAGCGGCCAGTATTACCGGTGGCAGCGGGCGGCCCGCCGGCGTTGTATCCGGGCGTCCAGCGGCGGCGAGGTGTGATGGAGGGAGGGAGCGGCCAGTATTACCGGTGGCAGCGGGCGGCCCGCCGGCGTTGTATCCGGGCGTCCAGCGGCGGCGAGGTGTGATGGAGGGAGGGAGCGGCCAGTATTACCGGTGGCAGCGGGCGGCCCGCCGGCGTTGTATCCGGGCGTCCAGCGGCGGCGAGGTGTGATGGAGGGAGGGAGCGGCCAGTATTACCGGTGGCAGCGGGCGGCCCGCCGGCGTTGTATCCGGGCGTCCAGCGGCGGCGAGGTGTGATGGAGGGAGGGAGCGGCCAGTATTACCGGTGGCAGCGGGCGGCCCGCCGGCGTTGTATCCGGGCGTCCAGCGGCGGCGAGGTGTGATGGAGGGAGGGAGCGGCCAGTATTACCGGTGGCAGCGGGCGGCCCGCCGGCGTTGTATCCGGGCGTCCAGCGGCGGCGAGGTGTGATGGAGGGAGGGAGCGGCCAGTATTACCGGTGGCAGCGGGCGGCCCGCCGGCGTTGTATCCGGGCGTCCAGCGGCGGCGAGGTGTGATGGAGGGAGGGAGCGGCCAGTATTACCGGTGGCAGCGGGCGGCCCGCCAGCGTTGTATCCGGGCGTCCAGCGTCGGCGCGCGAGGACGGCGCGCCAGGGCCGTCGGTCGCGCAGGGCCCCCTCCCGCAGCCAGTCGTCGGGCCCCACATGTACCAGCTCCAGCGAGCTGAACTCGCGTGCGAACTCCGTGAACGACATCCTGACACATCACCACAGTAAATTTCTTATTGTCTATATATACAATGTATATCTAGAGTATATACAAATTGTTGTTAAAGTAATAAAAATATCATTTTTCACGAATGTTACACCTTACTACATTTCAATCATACTTCTGTAATATTGCGTTCTCGCAATAGAGGTAAGCAAAGCTGTGTGACAAAAAGCAGTACCAATATTTAAATTCAAATCTACCGATTCTAATGATCAGGAGAAATCAATCGATATGTTAGGGTCACTAGGCATATAAAAGAATAAGTCGGGACCGGTATGAGGGAGTGCGATTACCAGAAGTCTCCCTTGCGCGCGGTGCGTCCGGCCAGCAGGTCGCGGTCGTGGGGCGGCAGGGCGCGCCACTGGGCGCTGTGCGGGGCCCACGCGCCCGCCCACGCGCCCCGCCCCGACACCGACCGCACGCGCACCAGCGCCTCCCCTTCCGCCGACCCTGCGCCCTGTATGGTGCCCGCCCCCGCCCCCGCCCCCGCACGCACCCGCGCCAGCCCCGTCACGCAGTACGGCTGCGCCGCCAGCAGACCGCTCGGCAGGCGGTGACCCGGCGGACACTTCTCCTGTCATATTAGTTTAAGCGATAATCTGACGGACATAATTATTACTTAAAGCAATAACCTGAAAGATCTATAAAAATCTGAACAAAATTTTACTGTAAGTAATATTACACTCGATCTAGGCTGGATTCAAAACAGCGTCTTCTACTACTACTACGTCGATTAAAACTCGTAATGACGTCTCTCGGCTCGTGCGCTTGTAAGAATCTAGCCTAACGCCTGGGCTGAGAGGTTTTCTTCAGAATGAAAATTATATGTACATTAATTTTGATTTGTGTATGAAAAGTTTTATAACAAGTAATTTATGTACTTGTAACTACGATATTATTATAATTACTGAGACGTGGCTGGTAGACAGTATTAAAGATGCGGAACTTTTTGACTGTCGTTATGTTGTTTGGCGTCGCGACCGTAACTACGCCGCAACCGGTCAGGTTTATGGAGGTGGTGTGCTGGTGGCGGTGCGCCGGGATCTCGCAGTCGTGCCGCAGCCAGCATTCCACTCGAGTGCTGAAGATTTGTGGCTGACGCTTGTGCTGAAGCAGCGCGAGACTAATATTCATCTTAATGTTCATATTTGTGTCGTTTATTTATGTAGGGAAAACTTGGGATTATCTTACTCACAACAATTATTTAATTTCTTTAATAATTTGAGTGAAGTCTTTATTCGACATCCAAATGACAAATATCTGATAGTGGGAGATTTCAACCTTAGTAGAATTGCTTGGACTTTAAGTGATGTCGATTGTAACTCCTTTGACCCATCCAATTATTACTCTGATGATGAAAAATTTTTGGTGGATGAGTTAAATACCCTTGGCCTTACCCAATACAATGGAATAAAAAATACATATGGTAGACTTCTAGACTTGGTTCTATCCAATGATTATGTCCGGGTCACTGACTGCAGTGAGGATCCCCTAGTGCCGATCGATTTGCATCACGGGGCCATGACTATTGACCTACAGTTTTCTAACACTATTTGTTTGGCTGATGCCCCGTATGTTAAGTATCTCTTTAATAAGGGTAATTATGAGGCAATTAATTCGGAGATTTTAAAAGTAGACTGGCAGTCTGAACTGACGTCCAGATCTCTTGAAGGTGCTGTTGATTACTTTTATACCATATTTTTTAAGTTGAGGGATAAGTACATACCCAGTAAAAAAGTCACTGCTGGCCGTTATCCAAAGTGGTACTCTTCTGCTTTGAAAAAGGCCATTAAAGAGAAATATAAATACCTGAAAAAGTTCAACACATACGGGAACCTCGCTGACGAATTAACATTTAAATTGCTTAGAGATCGGTGTAGGGCAATGGAGAGGCAATGCTACTCTGACTACATTAAGTCTGTTGAGAGTTCTTTAAAGGATAACCCAAAATTATTTTGGTCTTTTCTTAAGTCTAAATCGGATACGAATGATATTCCTAGCAGTATGAGACATGGTGATGTTATTCTCAATACAGGAAATTCGATCAGTAATGCTTTTTCTAATTATTTTCATTCAAATTTTTTGAACTGTCCCACCGTTCAATCGAACGTTTATTCTTCTGGTTCTAGTATCACCGTCACGAATATAACAAATATTGAAATTGATGTTCAAAATGTGGCGAAGCTTCTTTCGACACTGGATCCATCCAAGTCATCCGGTCCAGATTTATTACCAGCTCAGTTCCTTATATCTTGCGCTAAAACTATTGCAGTTCCATTAGCTATCCTTTTTGAAAAATCATTGGTTGAAGGTATTGTACCAAGGTTGTGGAAACGTGCTTTTATCACACCTGTCCACAAGAAAGGATCCAGGATTGACATAACCAATTACCGACCAATCTCCAAACTTTGTATAGTCTCAAAGGTTCTTGAGAAGATTGTGTATGAGCAGCTATACTCAGCTCTTAAGCATTCTTTCAGCCCCACTCAGCATGGTTTTTTGAGAGGACGTTCTGTAGCATCCAACTTGACTCTGCTTAATGAATCGCTCACCTCGTCTATGGATAATGGCTTCCAAGTCGATGTCGTATACACTGACTACAGCAAAGCGTTCGATCGAATTCGGCCAGACCTACTGGTGCATAAACTGGAGAAGATCGGCGTCAGTGGTGACTTGCTCAGGTGGTTAACTTCATATATTAACAATCGATCTCAGGCTGTTGTAGTGAAAAACTACATCTCCAGCTGGCTCACAGTGCTCAGCGGAGTTCCTCAAGGATCTCTGCTCGGACCTCTATTATTTGCAGTTTTTGTGAATGACATTGAGATGTGCTTCAACACATCACAACTCTTATGCTTTGCAGATGATATGAAGATAATTGCACCTATATCTTCTATCGCTGACGCTATTTCGTTGCAGGAGGACCTTAACAGACTTGAAATTTATTGTGTTGAGAACCATTTAGATCTTAATCCGTCAAAGTGTATTGTTGTCACTTATAGTCGTAAACAAAATTTGATACTTTTTGATTATAAATTAAGAGACTCAACATTGCAACGTGATACTGTCGCAAAAGACCTTGGTGTCCTTCATGACAATAAGCTCTTATTTGACGCTCATATAGATAATATCATTAGTAAAGCTTCCAGGGCTCTTGGATTTGTGATGCGTAATTCCAGAGACTTCAAAAATGCAAAAACATTAAAGATTTTATATTGTTCATTTGTTCGAAGCCATCTGGAGTATGCGTCCCAAGTCTGGAACCCTCTGTATCTTACATATATAACGCGAATTGAAAACATCCAGAGAAAATTCATCAAATATCTCTGTTTTCGCACCAAAGAGCACTACAATTCAAATCAATATTTATATTTTTGTAAAAAACACCACTTGTTACCACTGCAAAAACGCCGCCAAATTGCAGATTTAGTATTTTTATTAAAAATAGCTTCTGGTGCTATCGACTGCCCAGCACTACTGTCTAGGATTTCCCTTAGGGCTACAAAAAAACCATTGAGATTTAATCCCGTTATATGCGTTCCACAGGCAACCTCAAACTTTAGACAGAATTCATATCTTCTGCGTGCAGGTAATAGTTTTAATGTTGTATCTGAGAAAACTGGTATTGATTTGTTTTATACTAGCGTTCCATCACTGAGGCGGGTATTGAGCAGTGCATTTTTCGACGAATAGGCAATTGTACAATGCTTATTTTTTTGTTATTATTATGTTAAAAGTGTGCCTAATTATATTTTAGTGTGTCTTTATTGGTGAAGACCTGTAATTGGCTTTATGTTGTTATTTAAGTTTTTATTATTTTTGTTAATAGCTGTTGGTTTTCCAATAAATAAATAAATAAATAAATAAATAAATGTATTAAGCTGATTCAGCCCAAAAAACCTTATGGTGATGAGCGGTGGCGACGATGAGCGTGGAGCGCGGCACGGCAGAGTTGAGCACCTGGAACACGAGCGCGCGCGGCTGCAGGCGCAGCGGGAAGCTCTGCACCACCCCGCCCGACAGGTCCTGCAGGGCCCGCGCCGCGCCCCCACACCCCGACCCTGGCCCCGGCCCTGCCCCCATCGCCGCGTACGACCCGTACAACCTGCGCAAGAGGCGATCGCTTCGATCAACTTGAGGCTCTTTTTGTTCTATGGTGAAATACAAGCGCACGACCCACCTGACGCTAAGTGCTTACCATAGCTTATGATAGTGGGGTTATTTTTCGATAGAACCACTAATACACCACCAAAGGAAATTATTATTTCAGTGCAGTTTTGAAAAGGTTAATGTTACCTCTCCAAACTAATGTCGATTAATCAAATCGTACGTCATTTATTTGCTGCAAATAGGCCTATAAAAATTGCTTTTACATGTCCCTATATTATTTTATCCTTACGACTGCTTCGGGACAATAAACGAATTAGTGCTGAGAAGTTTACAATTTCGACCGCGACTCACTTGGCGTACGCCTTCTCGAGCAGTGGTAAGGTGAAGTCCCCGGGCAGCGCGCCGCGGCTGTACAGCGGGCGCCCGCCGCGGGTCGGCAGGCGATCGTCCACGCACACCTCGCGCCACTCGCCGAACACCCAGAACTTGAACCTGAACAATAGTCAAACATTAAAACATTCATTTTCAAACGAAGATGGGACACTGCCGTAATAAACAACAACAAATACTGAATTGCTCAGTGTGAGCACGAGCGCGGTGCGGCGTAGTGAAGTGTAGTGTGTACGGTACCGGAACGCGCCGGTGTATCGGCGATGGAAGGGTTGCGGCGGCGCCACGCGGTCGAGCAGGCGCGGCGTGAGCGCCAGCGCGGCCCCACCCGCATACCGCCACTAGTGTGATGTAGTGTAGTGTGTACGGTACCGGAACGCGCCGGTGTATCGGCGATGGAAGGGTTGCGGCGGCGCCACGCGGTCGAGCAGGCGCGGCGTGAGCGCCAGCGCGGCCCCACCCGCATACCGCCACTAGTGTGATGTAGTGTAGTGTGTACGGTACCGGAACGCGCCGGTGTATCGTCGATGGAAGGGTTGCGGCGGCGCCACGCGGTCGAGCAGGCGCGGCGTGAGCGCCAGCGCGGCCCCACCCGCATACCGCCACTAGTGTGATGTAGTGTAGTGTGTACGGTACCGGAACGCGCCGGTGTATCGTCGATGGAAGGGTTGCGGCGGCGCCACGCGGTCGAGCAGGCGCGGCGTGAGCGCCAGCGCGGCCCCACCCGCATACCGCCACTAGTGTGATGTAGTGTAGTGTGTACGGTACCGGAACGCGCCGGTGTATCGTCGATGGAAGGGTTGCGGCGGCGCCACGCGGTCGAGCAGGCGCGGCGTGAGCGCCAGCGCGGCCCCACCCGCATACCGCCACTAGTGTGATGTAGTGTAGTGTGTACGGTACCGGAACGCGCCGGTGTATCGTCGATGGAAGGGTTGCGGCGGCGCCACGCGGTCGAGCAGGCGCGGCGTGAGCGCCAGCGCGGCCCCACCCGCATACCGCCACTAGTGTGATGTAGTGTAGTGTGTACGGTACCGGAACGCGCCGGTGTATCGTCGATGGAAGGGTTGCGGCGGCGCCACGCGGTCGAGCAGGCGCGGCGTGAGCGCCAGCGCGGCCCCACCCGCATACCGCCACTAGTGTGATGTAGTGTAGTGTGTACGGTACCGGAACGCGCCGGTGTATCGTCGATGGAAGGGTTGCGGCGGCGCCACGCGGTCGAGCAGGCGCGGCGTGAGCGCCAGCGCGGCCCCACCCGCATACCGCCACTAGTGTGATGTAGTGTAGTGTGTACGGTACCGGAACGCGCCGGTGTATCGTCGATGGAAGGGTTGCGGCGGCGCCACGCGGTCGAGCAGGCGCGGCGTGAGCGCCAGCGCGGCCCCACCCGCATACCGCCACTAGTGTGATGTAGTGTAGTGTGTACGGTACCGGAACGCGCCGGTGTATCGTCGATGGAAGGGTTGCGGCGGCGCCACGCGGTCGAGCAGGCGCGGCGTGAGCGCCAGCGCGGCCCCACCCGCATACCGCCACTAGTGTGATGTAGTGTAGTGTGTACGGTACCGGAACGCGCCGGTGTATCGTCGATGGAAGGGTTGCGGCGGCGCCACGCGGTCGAGCAGGCGCGGCGTGAGCGCCAGCGCGGCCCCACCCGCATACCGCCACTAGTGTGATGTAGTGTAGTGTGTACGGTACCGGAACGCGCCGGTGTATCGTCGATGGAAGGGTTGCGGCGGCGCCACGCGGTCGAGCAGGCGCGGCGTGAGCGCCAGCGCGGCCCCACCCGCATACCGCCACTAGTGTGATGTAGTGTAGTGTGTACGGTACCGGAACGCGCCGGTGTATCGTCGATGGAAGGGTTGCGGCGGCGCCACGCGGTCGAGCAGGCGCGGCGTGAGCGCCAGCGCGGCCCCACCCGCATACCGCCACTAGTGTGATGTAGTGTAGTGTGTACGGTACCGGAACGCGCCGGTGTATCGTCGATGGAAGGGTTGCGGCGGCGCCACGCGGTCGAGCAGGCGCGGCGTGAGCGCCAGCGCGGCCCCACCCGCATACCGCCACTAGTGTGATGTAGTGTAGTGTGTACGGTACCGGAACGCGCCGGTGTATCGTCGATGGAAGGGTTGCGGCGGCGCCACGCGGTCGAGCAGGCGCGGCGTGAGCGCCAGCGCGGCCCCACCCGCATACCGCCACTAGTGTGATGTAGTGTAGTGTGTACGGTACCGGAACGCGCCGGTGTATCGTCGATGGAAGGGTTGCGGCGGCGCCACGCGGTCGAGCAGGCGCGGCGTGAGCGCCAGCGCGGCCCCACCCGCATACCGCCACTAGTGTGATGTAGTGTAGTGTGTACGGTACCGGAACGCGCCGGTGTATCGTCGATGGAAGGGTTGCGGCGGCGCCACGCGGTCGAGCAGGCGCGGCGTGAGCGCCAGCGCGGCCCCACCCGCATACCGCCACTAGTGTGATGTAGTGTAGTGTGTACGGTACCGGAACGCGCCGGTGTATCGTCGATGGAAGGGTTGCGGCGGCGCCACGCGGTCGAGCAGGCGCGGCGTGAGCGCCAGCGCGGCCCCACCCGCATACCGCCACTAGTGTGATGTAGTGTAGTGTGTACGGTACCGGAACGCGCCGGTGTATCGTCGATGGAAGGGTTGCGGCGGCGCCACGCGGTCGAGCAGGCGCGGCGTGAGCGCCAGCGCGGCCCCACCCGCATACCGCCACTAGTGTGATGTAGTGTAGTGTGTACGGTACCGGAACGCGCCGGTGTATCGTCGATGGAAGGGTTGCGGCGGCGCCACGCGGTCGAGCAGGCGCGGCGTGAGCGCCAGCGCGGCCCCACCCGCATACCGCCACTAGTGTGATGTAGTGTAGTGTGTACGGTACCGGAACGCGCCGGTGTATCGTCGATGGAAGGGTTGCGGCGGCGCCACGCGGTCGAGCAGGCGCGGCGTGAGCGCCAGCGCGGCCCCACCCGCATACCGCCACTAGTGTGATGTAGTGTAGTGTGTACGGTACCGGAACGCGCCGGTGTATCGTCGATGGAAGGGTTGCGGCGGCGCCACGCGGTCGAGCAGGCGCGGCGTGAGCGCCAGCGCGGCCCCACCCGCATACCGCCACTAGTGTGATGTAGTGTAGTGTGTACGGTACCGGAACGCGCCGGTGTATCGTCGATGGAAGGGTTGCGGCGGCGCCACGCGGTCGAGCAGGCGCGGCGTGAGCGCCAGCGCGGCCCCACCCGCATACCGCCACTAGTGTGATGTAGTGTAGTGTGTACGGTACCGGAACGCGCCGGTGTATCGTCGATGGAAGGGTTGCGGCGGCGCCACGCGGTCGAGCAGGCGCGGCGTGAGCGCCAGCGCGGCCCCACCCGCATACCGCCACTAGTGTGATGTAGTGTAGTGTGTACGGTACCGGAACGCGCCGGTGTATCGTCGATGGAAGGGTTGCGGCGGCGCCACGCGGTCGAGCAGGCGCGGCGTGAGCGCCAGCGCGGCCCCACCCGCATACCGCCACTAGTGTGATGTAGTGTAGTGTGTACGGTACCGGAACGCGCCGGTGTATCGTCGATGGAAGGGTTGCGGCGGCGCCACGCGGTCGAGCAGGCGCGGCGTGAGCGCCAGCGCGGCCCCACCCGCATACCGCCACTAGTGTGATGTAGTGTAGTGTGTACGGTACCGGAACGCGCCGGTGTATCGTCGATGGAAGGGTTGCGGCGGCGCCACGCGGTCGAGCAGGCGCGGCGTGAGCGCCAGCGCGGCCCCACCCGCATACCGCCACTAGTGTGATGTAGTGTAGTGTGTACGGTACCGGAACGCGCCGGTGTATCGTCGATGGAAGGGTTGCGGCGGCGCCACGCGGTCGAGCAGGCGCGGCGTGAGCGCCAGCGCGGCCCCACCCGCATACCGCCACTAGTGTGATGTAGTGTAGTGTGTACGGTACCGGAACGCGCCGGTGTATCGTCGATGGAAGGGTTGCGGCGGCGCCACGCGGTCGAGCAGGCGCGGCGTGAGCGCCAGCGCGGCCCCACCCGCATACCGCCACTAGTGTGATGTAGTGTAGTGTGTACGGTACCGGAACGCGCCGGTGTATCGTCGATGGAAGGGTTGCGGCGGCGCCACGCGGTCGAGCAGGCGCGGCGTGAGCGCCAGCGCGGCCCCACCCGCATACCGCCACTAGTGTGATGTAGTGTAGTGTGTACGGTACCGGAACGCGCCGGTGTATCGTCGATGGAAGGGTTGCGGCGGCGCCACGCGGTCGAGCAGGCGCGGCGTGAGCGCCAGCGCGGCCCCACCCGCATACCGCCACTAGTGTGATGTAGTGTAGTGTGTACGGTACCGGAACGCGCCGGTGTATCGTCGATGGAAGGGTTGCGACGGCGCCACGCGGTCGAGCAGGCGCGGCGTGAGCGCCAGCGCGGCCCCACCCGCATACCGCCACTAGTGTGATGTAGTGTAGTGTGTACGGTACCGGAACGCGCCGGTGTATCGTCGATGGAAGGGTTGCGGCGGCGCCACGCGGTCGAGCAGGCGCGGCGTGAGCGCCAGCGCGGCCCCACCCGCATACCGCCACTAGTGTGATGTAGTGTAGTGTGTACGGTACCGGAACGCGCCGGTGTATCGTCGATGGAAGGGTTGCGACGGCGCCACGCGGTCGAGCAGGCGCGGCGTGAGCGCCAGCGCGGCCCCACCCGCATACCGCCACTAGTGTGATGTAGTGTAGTGTGTACGGTACCGGAACGCGCCGGTGTATCGTCGATGGAAGGGTTGCGACGGCGCCACGCGGTCGAGCAGGCGCGGCGTGAGCGCCAGCGCGGCCCCACCCGCATACCGCCACTAGTGTGATGTAGTGTAGTGTGTACGGTACCGGAACGCGCCGGTGTATCGTCGATGGAAGGGTTGCGACGGCGCCACGCGGTCGAGCAGGCGCGGCGTGAGCGCCAGCGCGGCCCCACCCGCATACCGCCACTAGTGTGATGTAGTGTAGTGTGTACGGTACCGGAACGCGCCGGTGTATCGTCGATGGAAGGGTTGCGACGGCGCCACGCGGTCGAGCAGGCGCGGCGTGAGCGCCAGCGCGGCCCCACCCGCATACCGCCACTAGTGTGATGTAGTGTAGTGTGTACGGTACCGGAACGCGCCGGTGTATCGTCGATGGAAGGGTTGCGGCGGCGCCACGCGGTCGAGCAGGCGCGGCGTGAGCGCCAGCGCGGCCCCACCCGCATACCGCCACTAGTGTGATGTAGTGTAGTGTGTACGGTACCGGAACGCGCCGGTGTATCGTCGATGGAAGGGTTGCGACGGCGCCACGCGGTCGAGCAGGCGCGGCGTGAGCGCCAGCGCGGCGGCCGCGCAGCACAGCGCCGCGCTGCCGGCGGCACCCACCTCCACGCTCCATCTGATGCACAATATCATTCAAATAGTCTATTATATAATAGCATATTATTAGTATGTGTCTATACTGCACCAAATTCTTGATATAGGTTTATTTAGGTACTTCTAGATCCAAGTAAATTAGCTCTAAAACTATAATTTAACGATGTTTAGTTAATTATGCTTTACACTATCGTCACAATCGTCCAAACAATCTGCCGTTATCGTGCCAATGTTTTTGATTCATCAAGTTAGTTTCTCTATGCTGAGTGATGGTCTCTCAGTCATCGACAACAATAGTAACAAACCTGGCGGCGAGTTGTTCGTCGTCGTCGTCGGCGGGATCGCCGTCTCCGCCCGCGTCCTCCTGGCCGCGGAAGGTGGGCCGGGAGCACAAGTCCTGCACAACACAGTAAGTTTTATTTGCTAACCGCTTAGTCTAGCCCCAAGGTAAGACTTGTGTTAGTAGTCAATTGTTACATCTATACTAATATTTTAAAGCTGAAGAGTTTGTTTATTTTTTGTTCAAACGCGTTAATCTAAGTGTAGTTACTTAAGCACCCGATTAAAAAAACGTTTTGTGGAATATATTGCATTTATTGAGGAAGCTATAGCTATATAACATTAGGCTACGATCAGCAGGAGCGGAGCAAGTATAAAAATGTTGCTAAAACGGGGAACTTTTTTCCATTGAGTGCTTTCGTTGCGTGCGCTGCGTAAATGGGTAAAGTTACACAAAATTCATCTTAGATTGTAATGTTTCTCTTCAAAAGTTCTATAAAAAAGGCCGCTACAGCATTTGTCCATATTCTAAGTTTGACTCGCCTTTACCTTTTCTCTATAATCTTTTCCCACAAATTAACCACATTCATCGACTGAGGCGACACGAAGTTTGCTGGGTCGTTCGGCCAGTTTTTATAAAGAGAGAATTTCGTCTTTGATAATTCAGACGGGTTCTATGCTTATTAGATTTAGTGGATGCCTAAAAACCGAATTTGATCTGATCTGACTGATGATTACAATATATTGTTTAAAACTTTTATGGTCACTAACATTATAGTAATATAAGTTATTTACGGGATTGTTACCATGTACCTTGTTTTTAGCGACTTTCCGATATTTCGGCACTGTTACTCCGTGATCATAGCGCTCGCAACAGTGCCGAAATATCAGAAACTCGCTAAAAACAAGGTACATGGTAACAATCCCGTAAATAACTTATAATACTATGATGATTACAATGTTATTCTAACTTACATAGGAATTTCAGTACTTCAACGAGGATACAACTTTCAATATCTATTTATTTAGGTCCTTTCTCGTGATTGACAATAGCGGCAGGTAATTGTTTTTTTAGAATTTTAATTTGAGTCAACCAACGATGAAGAACGATGTTCGGTAAACAATCTACTATTGTAGTGAAACGCTTTGTGGGGCCCTCGCGAGCCCGCGCCTCCGAGCGGTCACTCCCATTGTTTTCTACTTACAACCTTTTACAAATTAAAAATAATAAATAAACAAAATGAATAATATCAGTTTCTATCTCAACGAGAGTTATGTGCGGACGTGCGAGTAGATATAGTTTTGCCGTCGTATGTGGTCTAATATCCATTATTCGCAATGGCCACTACTAGCAACGAGTCTCTCAGGGTTAACGTTTATGTTTATTATATTTAAATTTCCCAATGTAAGCGGCTTTCTCTGCGCGGCCAGTTAGCGGTTACATGAGAGACAACGGTCTGGGAGTTGTATTTATATGCAAAACTAAGTAACTCGATATGCGAAATCTGGTATCATAGTGTTCGCACTTCATTTATGACGAGGAGCGCGCAAATCGTAAAACCGGAGCGTGTCATTGATGTGATGCGCCCGCGCAGACCTTACAACTGGGTCACAAACGCAATAAATAAACAATGCCTCGTGTTTCGAGGAGCTTTCTGTGCGAAGCGATACAAAAGAGAGTTGCGCCTGTAAGTGTGTTGATCACTTGCAAATATTACGCGCTTTCTGTTCAAATATTGAAACGAGTAGAGAGTACATCCGGGAAACAAGCTAATGGCTCGTTTGAGCGTTGTTAGCCACATTCTGTGATATTCATTTAACGGCCTCGTAACTTTCTGAACATTTTTGAAATGTTTCGGCGTTAGCGGCGGGCTACTTGTTCGCTGAGACGGGCGGCGCGCGCGCAGCTTCCTCTCTTTACTCATATGCTCCAACTGTATATTATTTTTGTTAAGTTTTAGCAAATTACGATACACAAGGTTACCTTATCGGTGTAAGAGCAGAGGCCCAAGAAATAACGTTGACAGATCCGTAATCGTATGGTTATCGTCAAATTTTGTATGCAACGAGCTAGTTTTTTGTTACGTCAGATAGGGGACGCGGCTTAGTTTTCATAGAAACTTTGACGATGCGATACGTTACGGAGCTGTCAACAATTCGTCCTTGGGCCTCAGGTCGCATCATAATAGGGATGATGACCAACAGTTTTTTCTTTGTCCATCACAGGGGTACCCAAACTTATTTTGTATACTGACCATTTTTTCACCTACTTAAAAACCACTATAACTTGAAATTAAATTATTTATTGTGAGCTCACATTTTAGCGGAGATTAAACATTCATTCTAAACGAGACTTTTAATATAACCTGAAAAAGTTTACACTGGGGCTCTTACCACCCTTTAGGCCTTGAGCCCACACGGCGGCGTTATCGCCCAAACTGGGTCAAGGCTGGCCTGTCAGGTAGAATAATAAAAAGTCTTGGCCATGTATTTTTCTTTATTCACACAATCAAAACATTACAGAGGTGTATTGATTTGAAATATCGCATTTTGCACGTTTTGGTATATTTTTGGCTTATAAGTGACGTCACGAGCCCACGCACGCACGGTCACATTCTCACTATTGTGTGTCGGGAACAGGTTCGAGTGAATAATGGGAATGTGACCAGTGGTAGGGGTATCGAGCGCAGTAAGAGACGATGTCAGAGGATAGACCGATATGTCTGCCAATAACATCTACCCGCAATCACTTCTAACTGAAGTGATCATGGCGGTTGGAACAGTGCCGCAGTATCGGAAACTGTTAAAAACAAGATACATACATTCATGGTAACAATCCCGTAAATAGCTATAATGTTAGTGACCATGAAAGTTTAAAACAATAGATCAAGGAATTGTCAAGAAATGAAGCCTTTGTTGTTGATTTATTTATTAGTGGTATTATCTGTTGGAGTAGCTAATTACACGTGGCCTGGCCGCTCGCCGGAATTCAATTACCTTTGGAATTCGAAGAAACGAATCAATGTAAGCTGTGAGTGTAAGTAATAGTCGGCCACAAGTGACCACATCATAATCTTGAATGGGTTACCCTACCCTACCCTACCTACAAAGTAAAGTTATTCGTTTTACATTGCGATGATCAGTATATTTCAAATATCTTAAATCAGTAGGGTGTTATATGTGTGCACATTGATAAAACCCATAATAATTAGTGTATACCTATCTTAAAATATAATTGTGTAGTCCTAGCCTTAACTACAATTTTCGCTATTTATTAATTAAATTTTTGTTCTTTAAATTCATGTTACAGCGTCAGCAGATTAATTTCCACATACGTTGAATCGCTGACACTGCAACCCACATCTGTTCAATATTTAATTTTATTAGATTCATTATTATATCAACCGGCCTCCATCGCGGAGCTGCCAATAGTTGTACCTATAGGTTAAGTTATAAAATAAAGTATTTTTTTTAAACTCCTATCTCGGCTCTGCTTTAACTAGGGTTTAAAATTTATTTACAATTTATAATAATGTAAAATATTGTATTTGTATGTTTGGTACCGAACCACGCGGAATAACGACAGAACAGATTTGGATGAAATTTGGCACACATAATAGTTTAATATCTGAATTGAAATATAGAAGATTCCCGTGTGATTCTCCGAAAAATAATCATAACGCAGACGGTGTCGAGGGCGTCAGCTTGTTTAAACACACTTCTATATCGAACATCTTACACTTATAGAATTCCTTCGGACGGAGGTAGTAAGTAGTTAAGAGATGGCGCCTCTAATGCCATTGATATTCAGCGCGAGTGGGAGCGCGCGCGCAGCCCATTATGGGCATTCCTTAAATTTTCTATAACGCCGCGCGCCGCGCACATCACCGGTGTCCTTCTCACTACCTCCATCATATCGTATGTGTATGGGTACTTCATCATCAGCCTATTAATGTCCCCATTGCTGGAGCACAGGCCGTCCCTATGGATGGAATAGGGAGATTGGGCCATGACCCACCACGCGGGCCCGGTGCGGATTGGTGGGTGCTAACGACTGCACATGCAGCCGGGACCGACGGCTTAACGTGCCTTCCGAAGCACGGAGGAGCTCGAGATAGTAAATTTTTGGTCACCCATCCAATGACCGACCACTGCGAAAGTTGCTTAACCTCAACGACCGCAGCCGAACGCGCTAACCACTTGCGCCATCGAGCTCCTCGTGCGTTTCGAACTACATGACATTGTAGGAATGGCGGCCCCAATCTGAACATAATTTATTTTTTGCGAGAATAATATGTAGTATGGTTTGGGAGAATAATATGTATGATGTTTTTACTCAACTAATATCGATATATTTCTATAAAGTATGCCGAATTTGAAGATACAGTAATTTTTAGTAGAAATAAATTTATCATTAAGTACTTAATTAAATATTAAGTAACTACATACTTCAGCAAGGTGCGCTTGCTGACAAAGTGATATTTGCAGAAGATGCTTTTTATTTATAACTAGTGGCCCGCCCTCGCTTCGCTTCGGTGTAGAGCTGTAGTGTAAACTATAGTTTTTGTTCTCAGGCTTGTGCTATAAAGAATGACTTTATTTTTATAATTACACGTGTTATTGTGAGTCAACCATAAAATATAGACATATGCTGCTGCGGGATATTTTTTAGATAATTTTATGTAGAATATTTCCGTTATACATGATTTCTATGTAACTTTAACCATTAAGGCTGCACCCGCGACGGAAGCTTAAAAATGGAGTAACTTCTCCCGTTTTCCCAACATTTCCCTTCACTACTCTGCTGCTATTGATTGTAGCGTGATGAAAAGTATACTATAACCTGCCCAGGAGTATGAAGAATAATTGTACCAAGTTTGGTTAAAATCCGTTGAGTAGTTTTTGTTTCTATAAGGAACATACACACAGACAGACAGACAGACAGACAAAAATTTTACTGATTGCATTTTTGGCATCAGTATCGATCACTAATCATCCCCTGATAGTTATTTTAAAAATATATTTCATGTACAGAATTGACATCTCTACAGATTTATTATAAGTATAGATATTTCCTCTCCAAATCTTATAAGGTTTTTCCGAACACTTATGTATATC